TGCAGACAAGCGGAAAAATCGCCGTCGTTTTGTGCACCTCTCCACAAAACATGTCCATATTCAGCCTTCAAATCAAATTCCTGGTTTTGCTAATTGGACCTGGCCCCCATTGTTTGTCTTGTGGTTGTGTGATCCGAACCCCATGGATTTTTTTTTTTCCCCTTTTTCCTTCTTTTTTTTTTTTTTGTTTTTGCCCCCTCCATGTTTTTCGTTCCTTCGTGCCGTGACTAGGTACGGATGTATGTTTCTGCTTTGCCACCTGTCATGTTATGACACGTGTCGTAATCTCGTGGAACCACAACGGACAAAGTGATTGGCCATCACGAGATTACGGCACGCATGTCTTTGTTAAACCCTAAGACTGCAACTGGTTAAGTATACATTATTCCGCGAGTGATGAGTTAACCCGGCCGGCGTACCCATATGCCCCAAAAAAACCGTGTGAGTGTCTGACGCGGAATAGATGTACCAAGGAAAGACAAAAAAAAAAAGAAAAAAAAAAAAAAAGATTACGACACGTGTCATAACAGCATTGGAAGCATACCTCCCTTCGGACTGAGTGATTGGCCATCACAACCGGTCTTCATCCGAATACAACGTACGGTTATTAGATAGCTGTGTGTATTTGGGGCAACTTTGAGTCTAGATACAGCAAAATAATGACCGTACGTTCCGAACACTATGTAAGCTAATGATAGTAGCTGTATTTGGGGCAAATTCGAGTCTAGATACAGAGCAATAATGACCGGGCGACTTGAATTGGAAGTATCTCGAACTTGTGCGGTTGGTATGTGGACTTAGCGGCTACAGCTTTTTTGGCTATCATCGTCTGCATGAGGGGATTTTTTTGTATTTTTTTTTTCCTTTTCCTTTTTTCTTTTTTTTAAACGAGAATACATCTTCCTTGTCTCTCGCCGCGTGAGGGCATTTTCACACTTGGGGCTTCCTGAGATGTATGTATCGGACGCGCAGGCACGACCAGATTCCTGTTGAGAAAAAAGGTTTTGGTGTGTTATGTATGATCCTAGGTGTCTCACAATGTAAAAGTGTGAAAAGAGAGAATCACATGCACGGACCCACATAGCCAGTCCCACACATACTCCACACTCAAGGCATACTCGCACGAAGACTTTTTGCACTTCTTTCTGGACGTAATTGCGGTCAGATACATCCAAGTAGGGCTGTAATTACAGTCAGATGCATTCTAGATTGTACTCGTGAGAGCATATCACATACATCCGAGTATTCAAGATTGGCATCGTGGTGTGATTACGCTCTCAAAAAAAAAAAAACACACAGAAGACAGACATCAGCAATCGCCAGACCAGGGACAGATTTAGAGAGCAGAAATCACTCCTCCCAGCAAAGCACGCAGAGCAACGGCAAAAACTCAGAAAAGAGCAGAGAGCAGAGAATTCACAGTCTGCAATTTTGCAGGTTCTTACAAGTGTATGTATTCACTGCTCTTTTTCTTCTTCTTTTTCTTTCTTCCAAAAAAAAAGAAAACGAAAAAAGAAAAAAATAAAGGAGGTTATTACAAGTGTAATGTAAAATGCTAAAATTTGATGCCCCTTGCCCTTTAAGCCGCGGGTAGCTTAGAGGGGTAGCTTAGAGGGGTAGCTTAGAGGGGTAGCTTAGATGGGTAGCTTAGAGGGGTAGTTTAGAGGGGTAGCTTAGAGGGGTAGCTGCAAGGGGGGGTGATCAGAGAGAAGAGCGGAGGCAAAATGTCTTCCTTCCATATATCGAACTGTTTTTTTTTTTTTTTTTTTTTTTTTTGTTGTAATAGGACCAATATGCTGAATTCAGGCGTGTCATCCTTGGACCAATAGGGGCGCAATTTAATCTTCTTTCTCTGTATCGTTCCAATTTAATTGGATGTGCCAGAGGACCTTCCGTTCAGACTTTGGACAAGTCTTTGGTTTTGCACGGTCGTTATGGGTGTATTTGGGGCAGCTTTCAGTCTAGATAGTGGTAATGACTGTGTGTTCCACTCGGGCGAAGCTGACCTTGTGTGCTGGCGGGGCCCATGGTTAACTCATCCTGTGAACATGGAGCATGGTCACTGCAGCTGTGTGTTTAGAGCATCTTTTGGGCCACATACAGCTATAATGGCCATGACGGCACCTGGTTAACCTCATCCCTTGAAGAACATGGACCGTGGTCACTACAGCTTTGTATTTACTGCATCTTTTGCGCCACATACAGCTATAATTGGTGTACCTTACGTTTGAGGGTAGATCGTAGTGATGGTAGTGACGGCACCAAGGGGTCAATGCTCTCGCATGTGTGTGTGTCGTCTGTGTGTGTGTGTGTCCTCTGTGTGTGTGTGTGTGTGTGTGTGTGTGTGTGTCCTCTGTGTGTGTGTGTGTGTGTGTGTGTGTGTGTGTGTGTGTGTGTGTGTGTGTGTGTGTGTGTGTGTGTGTCTCCAAAGGGCCATGCATTTGTTTGTGGTGAAGGACTCGAAGACAATGGTACTTAGTCATTTACATGCTTTGCATAGTCTAGAGAATGGTACTTAGACACTTGGATACTATAGACAATGGTATATAGCCATTGGCGTAGTCTTGAAAATATTTCACATAGTCTAGACAATGGTTCTTAGTCATAGAAGGGGTGTGAGCATAAAGGGGGGGTGAACCTGTAAATTCCATAAAAGGGGGGTGTTAACCTGTGAATAACCCCATAAATGGAGTGTGAAGCGGTATATAGACCCCGTAAATGGAGTGTGGCGCTGTGTTGTGAACAGAGCTAACTTGGCAACTTGCCTTGTTGCAGGAATCTGTGCAGAGGAGGGGCAATCAGTGGATGAAATTGCAGTGAACCCTTCTTCTGCCAAGATGCCACCGTTAGCGCGTTCATCCGGACGACTGCGCGTCGCTCGTGCAAAGGCGAATGGCGACAATGGGAGTGGGGTGTCGTCCTCGAAGCTCCCTGCTTTGGCACAGACACCATTCCCTAAGGAGCTGTTCGACCGCCTCAATCCGTCTGAGGTCGACAGATCAAACCCCTGTGTCAGGAGCAGTGGTGGTGCCGTAGCGCATGGCGCACGCCATCCTTTCCTCTCCAAGGCAGAGGCGTTGCCGCAGTCGTCGGCATCTCCAGATCCACAGCGTGAGCGGTCAGGTGGTCAGTCTCGTGCAGGCCACGTCGAAGGCTGTGTGAAGGCGGCAAAACAAAGAAAGAAGCGGAAGAAGTCGAGTAACGACGCTCTCATCTGGCCGGAAGTGGCTGGCGGGCTGAATGGGTTGTCCTCCGCAGAAGCTCAAGCTAGTCGAGAAGCCGATAACCGCATCGCCAACGAGAAGAACGGATGCGGCAAACGACGGAAGGAAACAGACGCAGATTCCAAGAAGTCAAAGTCAAACCTTGACGGAAGCGGACGAGGAGAAGGCGAGGGTGAGGAGGGTTCTCATCCAAGCACTCAATTGTGCAAGCCGTTGACTTTCGGCAAAAGGCGGAAGGAAACAGACGCCGAGTCCAAGAAGTCAAAGTCAAACTTTGACAGAAGAGGAAGAGGAGAAGGCGAAGGCGAGGAGGCCTTGGCTGTCGACAAAAGGCGGAAGGAAACAGACGCCGAGTCGAAGAAGTCAAAGTCAAACCTTGACAGAAGAGGAAGAGGAGAAGGCGGACGTGAGGAGGGTTCTCACCCAAGCAATCAATTGTGCAAGCCGGTGGCTTTCGACACAGCTTGGGGTCCTTTCCTGTGTGGCGAAGACGGGATAAAGCAAGGTACGAGGAGTGAAGGGACGGCGGCGGATCTGTTGGAAAGTCAGCTAGAAGTGACAGTATCAAGAGAAGCGTCGGTGGTCGATGCATGGCTAGATCGTCTAGTGGAAGAGGAGCAGAGGAGTGATGGGAGGGTTCTCGGGCTCGATATCGAGTGGACTCCTTGTTACATGAAGGGTCAGTACAACCCAGCGGCTTTGCTGCAGCTGTCGTCGGCAACGCGGTGCCTGATTGTTCAATTACTACACATGGATCGACGGTCACAAAAGCTTGTTGGGCTGTTTGCCCCATCTTCTCAGTTCAGATTTGCTGGGGTAGGGGTTAGGGATGATTTAACGAGATTGACTGCAGACCATTTCATGCCTCCCTGTGAAGAGAAGGCAGTGGATCTGGGGACGCTTGCAGCAAAAGTGCTAGGGAAACCCGATGTTCGGGGCTGGGGTTTGAAAGCATTGGGTAGAGAAGTGTTGTCGTATGAGATGCAGAAGCCCAAAAAGGTTTGTATGAGCAGATGGGGCTCCAGGCTCCTCAGCGTGGAACAAGTTCGCTATGCATCGCTCGATGCATGGGTGTCGTATCTTATATGGAAAGCATTGGACTCTCTTCCAACTGATCCTGGCAAGATGATGTCCTAGGCACAAGTTATCTATTGTTTGTCCTTCTTGTGGAAGGGGTCAGTCTTCCATCATCATATCGTGTGGTCCAGGGAGAGGTATTCTGTGGCGATGTCGGAAGAATCTCAACCTTCCCTACCCCCTTTGGCCTCTCCGTCCTTCCCCTCCCTCTTCCCCTCCCTCTTTCCCTCCACCTTCCCCTCCCTC